TTGTCCAGGTTTTTTGCCTGTTTTTTTGGAAGGTCTGGGGCTCTGCTTTCTTGTTTGCATATTAGTTTTAAGTTGCACACCATCATGCAAACTCATATAATGAAGGGTGGTATAGAAAGTTTTGAAATAATGTGTTTTTTAAAAAAAACAAAAAACCACAGTAAAGATGTGGCTTATAGAATGAACACCTGCTGAAGGATTAGTGGCTAGGGAATTAGTCCTTGAAAAACAGGTCTTTTGTGCATTTTCACAAGCAGAACCTATAACAAAACATTGCAGTGTGGAATGCTCCAGTTCAGGGTTGCAGCCAGCCAGCCCTCTTCCGGGACACTTCGTTCCATCATTCCTTCCCCACTGGTTTTGTGTGCCCCATCCCAGCACTTAGGCAGCAATCCATGGCCTCTGAGCACACTCAGTCCTCATTGGATGCTCTTAGGGGTGGACAACCATTAGGGTTTTCCCTAATGTTTTTTGTATTTCTGCAAAAAATTACAGTCCCCCGAGCCTACTGATTCCTCCTCCTTAGGGATGGTTGGAGCTGATTTGGCTAGATAAGGATCCACAGTCAGAGAAGGACTTCACAATTAGCATTTAGGATCTACTGGAGACCAGTGACTTCCATCCAAGTAGAAATGGTCCTGAAATAGTTCTCATTCAAATTTCTCTAGGGATTAATTTTGTTGCCAACATACAATGCTTGTGCTATCCCCTGTTGTTACACTTTTATTCTCAAGTTTGCACAGAACACTGTCCTTGTAAACATTTGCCTGAGCCTGAGCTTTCAGTTCCTCCAATTTATGTCTTTTCTCCCCTCTGTACCCAACTCCTTACCAGTGTCCATGTATAGTATGCATTGATTAAAACAATGCTAAAAAACAAACAAACCACTAATCTTGGTGTTCATGTCCACATACAGCTGCATCGAGATTCTTTTAAGAGGTCTTTCTCCAGCACGCAAAACTGCATGTGCACAAACACTGCATAAGTTGGATCTTAATTAACACTTAGGTTCGTGATTGCTTTCCATACTGTTTCATCAAAATGCATGTACAGGGTGAGATAAGGGGGAGGGGTTGACTGAAATGGACAGAAATCGATGGATCAGCTAAAGCTCAGGTCAGAAGCTGTGGTCCAGTGGAGCTCAGGCTAGTTCCATATAGCCCTTAGCCTAATTTCACATGGGTTGCAAGGAGGGAATAAAGGGGAGGAAGAGAGTAGCAAAAAGTGTGTTAGAGTGAACAGAGGCGAAAGAGAGAGATAAATTGATGTAACCAAAAGGTGGCAGCTACGCCCACTTCAAGATTTAGCCCCACCCACCACCACAATTGCAGACTCACAGAGATTACGGTATTCCTGAGGGGAAAATGCCTCTGGTTCTTGGCTCAGTTGCCATCTGCCTATGGCTGACCTTCAACATCATTGAGCACCCACAATCCTCCAGTGATGCATGAATAAATGCCTGACTTTTTAAAAGGGGAGGTGATAATACAGGCACTGAAAAGGAAGTCAATACTAGATCAGGGAAAGGATTGAGTTAGAACAGGGGTCCCCAAGCTAAGGCCCGTGGGCCGGATAAAGCCCCAGGGACTCGTTTATCCGGCCCGCAGCAACCCCCACCGCCTGCTCTTACCGGCGCTGTGCGGCTGCCCACTTCCGGGTCGGAGGAGCACTGGAAATAGCTTGTCGCGTGCGCATGCACAAGCATTATTTGCACATGTGCAAGCATTATTTCCGGTGCACATCCGGGTCGGAGGAGGCCCGTGCACATGCACACAAGCCATTTCCGGTGCTCCTCTGACCCGGAAGTGCACCAGATGTAGCGTGTGCGCACGAGTATGGGCACATGCTCCTCCGCCCTCTGGCCTGCCGCGTGATCGGCGCTGGAGACACCGGCCCGAGGCGCAGTAAGTTTGCTGACCCCTGAGTTAGAAAGTCTCTATGTTCCAGTTCTGGGATGAGTCAAATTGCCACAGATATTCCTATAAGAGACCCATGAATGACTGAGTGTGCCAAAAGATCTGCATATAAATCCTACATGTATACATGTGAAACGAGGAAACTGGAAAGAAGTTGCTTTCATGTGGGGAATTGAAATGCAGCGATTCATTATGCTACTGACATCCTAATATGTCTGATTTCAACAAAGGTTCCTATTCACAGCATAAATGAATTGGCTTAAAAGGGAGGGGGGATCTTGCTTCACTTTAAGCATTTAGAGCAATGTCTCTTCCCATCACAGTCAAAAGTGAACTTGGAAACGTATAAAAGGCTGCAGACCAAATTTTTGCAAATATGCTTTTACGAGTCATAGGGATGCATATAATTACCAAAGGTAGAAAATACAGCTGTGGTGGTGAAATGGAAAATTGGAACAGGATGGTGTCTCCAGTAGCCTCCCCTCTTAGCCAATCTGAACTAATCCTTAATGAATTCCCAAGAAAGCATGAAGTGTGCTCTTTGCCGAAGAAAGGAAAGTGCTGAACAAGTGAAAGTGGATTCTGGAATAGACACTGCCACTTTTGCTGTTTGGATTTCAGATGCCAGGGGCAAATTAAATAGGAGGACATCTCGGATACTCTCAGTCCAGAGTAGCTACTAATTTAGAAAGAATGCTAATAATGAAGTTAAGAGGGAAAGGCAGCACACTGGAAAGCCAAACAGAATGTCCGCACACCAGCAGTAAAAATTGGATTGTAAGAGACCAGCCCATTCCTGAACAGAATCCTCATTCTAGGAAGATATTGGGACATTTCTCACTGATTTGAATGGTTGAAAGGTTGTTGACTTGCCCCAGCTTAGAGTGCCAGATTTGTTTGTTTTTCTGTTGACAGCTTATATCCTGAGACAAACAGCAGTTTCAGGGGGATTTTTTTTGTTGGGAAAATAGAGGAGGTGGGTTAACCCTCAACCCATCCCATGCTATATTCCAGGCATAGGCAACCTCAGCCCTCCAGATGCTTTGGGACTACAATTCCCATCATCCCTGACCACTGATCCTGTTAGCTAGGGATCATGGGAGTTGTAGTCCCAGAACATCTGAAGGGCCAAGGTTGCCTATGCCAGCTATAGTCTCAGAATGGTTTCCCTCAGCCCCCAAAGTGGTTGCATTTAAAAAAAATAAAATAAAATACAATATTCACTAATCTGATCACACATTTCACCAGAAGCAGCTCATTTGGCTGGGGCAAAGCTGCAATGTCTGCCCAGCAGGGAGAGTGTCAAGGTGGCAGGAGGTCACTGTGGTTTAGTCACACTGGCAGGACAGCAAGATTGGCTCCAGCAGTGCTCCTGCAGCACACCATACTCTGAGTAAGCCTATAGATATTGCTGGAATCAATGGACTGATTGATTTCATAGGTCTACTCTAAGAACACATAAGGATAGAAACCCCTTTGGTTTTTTATCATTTAAGACTGGAGTAGGAAACCACTGAGTTGTGGACCAAATGTGGCCCTTCAGGACACTATCTGGCCCTCAAGACTCTCCCCAGGCCCTCACCAGGCATACCTCACATACTTCTTGGGTGTTTTTGCCTGCTTTGGGGTGTTTCCTTTAACTGTGTACGTAAAGCTTCTTGCCATTGGATTGAAAAATGCGCCCCCCCCCCGTTATGAAATGCCCTTCTCTGGTATTGGTACAAATAAGTAGTAGCCTATATGTCTTTTTTTTTCTTTCTTTTTTTGAAACCTATATGTCTTTTTAAATAATAAACAAGCAAAGGAGCCCAGTGTTCTGAGGGCTGAGGAGGCTATGATGATGTCTCCCCAGCTGTTGCCATTGTCTGTTGACTGCCTGTGATGTCACAAAAGCACATGGCAGTTGGGTGGATATAAAGGTGGGCCAAGGGGAAATCCAAAGCAAAAGGCTTTTCCCTCCTCAAGGAGAACACAGCTGTGGGCAACAGCTGTGGCATTCAACACTGGGTGGTCTACTTCAGCATGGAGGTGTGCTGAGCAACAAATAAGCCCGATCCTCTGGTAATGGGATGCTGTGGAGCAATGAGAAGGCAAGTTCACTTGCTGCGTGGGATTGTGGCTTGAAGGCAGCTGATATCCAAAGCCGGCTGATTTCTGGTACTGGACCAGGCAGAAGCTGGCAAATGGTGGTGGGTGGAAGCTGGTGGAAATTCACTTTCAGAAGCCCATTGACAGAAGCTGTGTGGATATTTGTAGAGTGAAACTGGATTATGTTATGTGAATGAACAGAGAGTGGCTGATGAGTGAATGTATCTGTCTGAATGGAAGGTTTCAAATGGAGTCAAGGTGAATGGTGTGTGTATCTGGTACATTCAAGGGATGGCATAAGTCACCCTTCAGATACCGTGTGCCTGGGGATTGTGTTCAGAGGATGGCAGAGATCGCCTTCCAGGCACAAGGTAAATGGATGAATTGGTGGAAGGCAGTGGAAGTTGGTAGACTGAGGTCAAGGATAAAGATGTCCAACAGAAGCCAGTGGCTGTGCCTTGGTAATGCTGTCAGATTATAGATATCTCTCTCACTTTGCTTGTGTTTGCCATTCGGGGATGTCTTAGCCCGCAAAGCTTTTTTCAAGACCACCCATGAAAGTAATGAAGAGAACCACAGGACTTAAGCAAACCAGTTTCTATTTCTAAACAAATGTCTTTATAAAGTGGTGTTCATTACACCTTTCCCCCTCAAGGTGGACAACAAGGGGCTGTTTCACTGGAAGCCACTGGCTATGGACTCCCTGTGGTGTTACAAATGTCTAAAGGGAAAGAAGCAGTTAGTATTGGGGGCAGAGGTGCCAGCATGAATAGAATATTGGGTGGGACAGATAAGCCCCACTCTGCATAATCAATCACAAGACATAGAAGTTTATGGGAGACTGAACTGCAACATTTTTCTAGACGCCGTGTTCTTTTTGTGCGGCCAACAGCAGAGCTGCAGGCTTAAACATGTGTGGAAAGTGAGTGCACATTATTTCATTTCAGGTTTATATGATATTGTTTGGTGAGGGAGGGGTGATGTTTGGGGGGGAGTGTTACCAGCAGCCAGCATTTCTGGAGGGCAGGCTACACATTTTATTTAAATAAATCAATGTAGCTAGGGTGCAAGTTTGCCCTAAAAGTTGCATAGTCCTCTTCCACCATCGCCATGTTGGATAGGACATAATATCTGGAGGCTGTCACCACCACTCCAGCTGCACGGTTTCTGGCATTACCCAAAACACCCCTGTGTAATCTTGTTATTCTTTATAATATGTACAGCTCTGAACCGGGGTTTTTAAAATGGGTCTTCCATATAATTTCCCCTCATTTCTGCTGCCCCCACTGATATATGTACCTGAATACTCCGCTCCTAACATAACCCAATAAGGAGCATGTGGTGGTGCAATACAATTATTTATTCAAAACAAAAATAATAAGGGTTTTATAATTACTCAGTGTACAAACAGCTGACGATGCACTTAAGCTTTTGGAGCATAAAGATACAGAGCAAAAGCAGGTACAACGAAATTCCCTTTGCCAAGCTGAAGACGCGTTACATGGGATTATAGCTCTAGTAGACTCTGTCAGGCAGAGGATCTCTAGACCGGCGCAGGCGTGCATGAGAGGCGAGAAGGCTGAACCGCAGACTAAATGGAAGAAGAAAGTGAAACTTGGCTATGAGAGGCAGGGAACATCCAGAGTACTGTGCTCTGACATGACGTGCAGATGATGATGAAGAGTTTGGATTTGATATCCTGCTTTATCACTACCCGAAGGAGTCTCAAAGTGGCTAACATTCTCCTTTCCCTTCCTCTCCCACAACAAACACTCTGTGAGGTGAGTGGGGCTGAGAGACTTCAGAGAAGTGTGACTAGCCCAAGGTCACCCGGCAGCTGCATGTGGAGGAGCGGAAACGCGAACCCGGTTCACCAGATTATGAGTCTACTGCTCTTAACTACTACACCACACTGGCTCTCCAAGAGAGAGCCATCTGCAAAGGCAGATGCATAGGAACTACTGATCTCATTTGATGCTCCTGATATCAGCCTGATGGAAGTGCTTGGTGGAAGACAGAAAGGAGGATCAATGTGAGGCATGAAGGCCGCTCCCTGCAAAGCCATTTGCACTGGGCCTATGGGGCAAGACCCACACTCACCAGCCCTACAAAAGATGCAAGACTGATCCAATTTAAGAAACTACCCCTTTTGCCACACGTACCAGCAACTCTCACACCAACTCACACCCACTCCCAAACTCCACTATCAACCACTCCAAACCAAATTCTGCCAACTGTCTCTAGCATCATTCAAACAGCCCTTTCAAATTCTCATCCAATCATCACTCACTACCAACATTCCAAGCTCCCTTCCTCTCCCTCCCTCCCCCACATTTACCTTAATTCCTCTATTATAGTTACCTATACATAATTGCCCTCTGATATGCCTACAGTATGCACATAAAGCAGAACAGTACAGTCCGCTTCAGATTCTATGTCCCAAAATGGCACAGTTGGAGGACTTTGAAATTCTATAGGTAAGGCAAAAGGCATAAGCCCCCTTCACCATCCTGGTCCCATTCATGGCAGTAATGGTTTGAAGGAGACTGGTGCCACGTAGGCTTTTAGGAAGAGCTGTGGCTCAGCAGTGCAGCCTCTGTTTGGTGTGCAGAAAACCCCAGCTTCAGTCCTTAGCATCTCCATGGAGAACTGGAAAAGACTCCTTGTCTGAGACCCTGGAGAAGCTCACCCAGTCAGCATGGACAGTCCTGAACTCGATGAACCAGTGTTTTGACTTGGTATAAGACAACTTCCTATGGTCTGGAAGAATTTCAGCATTGCTCCTGATAATGCCCATTTTTGGGTTCTTGTGCCAAATGACCTGTAGAATTTGATAACTGGAGAAACTTGAGGGGAAACTGGCACAAACACAAAAATGGCGGCATGGGGGGGTTAATCAGCATTTCACTTTCTTCCACCTCCACTTTCTCCCTCGCCGCATGCCCATACCAAATAGCTGAAGACAGTATTTCAGAAACAATCTCTCTGCCCACTGTAGTGCTGGGCCCCTCAGAACAGCTGAGGAGATCACCCCTTTTTAGAGAAAGAAAAGGCATGTGTCAAGCTGCCTCACCCACAGAGCCTTCGGGCAAAACACATCATTCTTTTGGCGCTGTCAGGGACTGAATAAATCACAGATAACTGGGTTAAAATGTCAGCACCCAATGGGATTGAAATAAATCTGCTACCTTTCTGCATTCAAGGGAGATGCTAAACGGCAGTGCCACCAGCGCCTCATCCATTCGGCAGGGGCAAATTAAATATCTTAACGAGCATGAATATATATACATTTTATTCCCTTGCAATAAGTCCATGCTGGATCTCAAGGTGGCCAAGGTTAAAGACGTGTGAATGTGAATGATGGCGTTAAAAGGTTTTCAGACTCTGTTTATTAATAGCTCTCACCCTTTCACCCCAGCGGCATCCATCACAGCTTGGTTAAAATACCATCTCCCTTCATCAATCACTGGGATTCTTCCCTGCCCAGATGAAGATGAAGGGACGAGGGAACAGAATATCTACCAACTATTTGTACAGTTGCAAGGGCTTTGTAACCATAATGCCAAAACAGAATCTTGTAGGATCAAGATGGGGTGTTTGGGGTATTTTTTGTGGGATGTGTTATTACTAGAGCAGTCAAGTACAAAATTTTCTGGGTGCCTAGAATGGACACACAGGGGAATGTGGCTCCAGAAAGAGAGGACTTCCTGTCATACCTGCTCTGGAGCTTCCTCCCCCTGTGTGTGACCAGGTAGATGGGTATGACCCTAGCTGACCATATAAAAGGGCTGGCCACGCAACTCTTACTCTCTTACTCTGAAATATCTGAATTTACTCTTGGACTCTCCTGGCTCTTAGCCAGCACATGGCTCAACCTTCACATAGGATGGAGTCCACAAGCAGAAAGTCTGAGATGTAGCTCAGACTTCTTTTGATGGTAACCACAGGATAAAGCCTGCCTTCAGATTACTGCTGTGAACTGAATGTGAGTAAAACTTTATTCTTACTTTTAAAGAAGACTGTGTTGTGTTATTATTATTTTAAGAGGGAAATAAAGGGGAAACTTACCAGGAACAATCCAGTCTGGACAAGCCAGACAGGATTGCTTAATTAAAGGATTCTAATGAATCATCTATTTGCTTCCAATAAGTTGCAAAGGGAATGTGCTCTGGTGTTTACTCACTAGCGTGAGTGAGGAGGGATAATATCAAAACAGCATATCCTCTCCTACTTTCCTTAACATTCCCACATTATTATTACTGTATTAAATCTCCTAACAGGGAGAAGACATCACTGGGTGGCTTTTAGATGTCCCAAAGGCCTTCATGAAGCCGTTGATCATCAAGGACAACCTTCCCTCCCACAAAATGTAAACTTCTTGAAGGAACTGATAGCTTTTTCTTTTTGTCTTCTGTTTTAATTTAGCTTGTCTCTCTGTAAACTGTTTGACGTTGGTAATGAAAAATGGAAATGGCAAATGGCCTCAAACTATCAGGAGTATATCCACTAAATGCAGCTGTAAGAAACAGACTTAACTGCCACTTACTTTGATGTTCTGCACTGTTCTCATTCCTGGATGTGTAGGGATAAATATGTTACAGTCATTTTTAGCTTGTATTAAGTAACATTTCCCACCTTTCATCCAAAATATCTGAATTTACTCTAGGAAGATTCCTCCCCCCCCCAAAAAAAAGGTAAGTTTGCCATGAGAGAAAGAGGAAGATCACAAACAGCAGAATGCATGAATAACATTACTTGGCAAAGGCATGATTTAGAAATGGTTGTGACTAAATTGTGGGGGTTAACAGTAAGTGTGCAAGAGCTTTGGGAAACAAATCACCTGTTAATCACAGACATTCCATGGCAGACAAATGAGTGTGGAAATGATTCCCTGTAGACAGAAAAACCCACCTGACATTCTGCCTTCCAACATTTTACAGATAAAAATAAAGATCTTGTAACCTTTATTCTGTTTTCAAGGACTTTGCAAGCACCATCCAACCAACTATGGCACACTGTGGAAGGATTCACCACCTGCTACACCGACTTCTTTAAGGTGGCTGTGGCATTTGCCCATTCTTTTGAAAATGTCTGTACAGTGGGAGAGAAAGAGTTAATAGGTAGACCAATAGAAAAGCCAGAGGTGGAGCCTACCTGTTTATAAAAGGGCTTAGCCCAAGGTTGGTTTTAGTTAGTTAGTTAGTTGGTTGGTTGGGAAAGGCAGTTGGGAAAGCAGTTGGCAGACAGTTGGAAATAGAAAGACAGTGCAGTTGGTTCTTGTGTGAGGGGAGGCAGAAGCATTAGAGACAGGATAAAATAAGACTAAGAAGGTAAAGAGTAACAACGTTTTGAATGCAGTTAAAGTTCATTTGTGTTTGCAATAAATACACTCTTCTTTGTTAACTTAAGAATCTGACTGAGACTAAGTGATTTACCGGGGAGGACCTGGTTGGTGGCAGTGGATTAGTGGTGTACGGGTTAATAGTCCGTGAGACGACTGGGGGCTCCGTACGAACGCCACAGGGGCCAGGGCTTAGTGATAGAGCATTTGACTTGAAGGCATACAGAGAGTTAAAGAAAAGGATTGGGTGCCCAATGATGGAAGCATTGCACTGTCCAAAACTCTGAAGATCTGCTGCCAGTCAGAGCAGACAGCCCTAGGCTTGATGGACAAATGGCGAGACCTAGTTTATACAGTAAGACAGTTTCTTACATCATTTACTCCATAGTCACTTGTCGTTGCCCTCCACTGATTTAAAGAGGCTGGTTGTTCTTTGGAGAAATATGCATCATAAAAGCATAACTGACCTCCAACAGGTTATCAACCATTTAAAAACTTATTTCTGTGGCTACAGTGTGTGAAATGACAAGGTGTGCATGGCTGCATGCCAAAGCTGAGATCCACTCATGTCCCACTCAGAGACAAGAAAGAAAGAGAGAGAGAGGAGGAGAGAGAGAGAGAGAGAGAGAGGGAGGGGGAGAGAGAGAGAGATGAACCGTGAGGAATGACAATATCAGGTGATAGAGAATCTCATGGATTATCACCAACAGCTAATAACAATTCTATTCTCCCAGCCTCTTGGAGCAAAAATATTAACCATTATTTGGTTGTATTATTCTCATGCTGTCGCACTATTGCTTGTTTTTCTCTTTTATTAATTGAGCTGGCCAATATATTAATGCATTTTCTGCATTGTTAGAAGCCTCAAAGGGGACTGGTTGCAATCTCTCTTATTTCTCAGTTCAACTAGATTCCAATGAAGAAGAAGAAGAAGAAGAAGAAGAAGAAGAAGAAGAAGAAGAAGAAGAAGAAGAAGAAAAGTTTGGATTTGATATCCTGCTTTATCACTACCCTAAGAAGTCTCAAAACGGCGTTTGCGTGCGCTGCTCTGGTTCGCCAGAAGCAGCTTAGTCATGCTGACCACATGACCCAGAAGCTGTACACCGGCTCCGTCGGCCAATAAAGCGAGATGAGCGCCGCAACCCCAGAGTCAGTCACGACTGGACCTAATGGTCAGGGGTCCCTTTACCTTTTTAGGAGTCTCAAAGCAGCTAACAATCTCCTTTCCCTTCTCCATCCCCTTTTACTCTATTTAGCTAAAATACTATTTGCACCTGCATTTAATATCAGGATGGCAATTCCTCTCTTCACGGCACTCTGATTTTATTCCATTTTTAAACAACTTCCCATAGAAGTATCTCATCCTTGTGTTCCCAGTTCAGCAATATTTTACAAGTATCAGATTTAACAACCATGATTCATCTTGGGAGAATCAGTGAGATTTCTTGCTGCCTTAGAATCAGACATCTTGGTGTCTTCAGACCCCCAAAAGTACGTAGTCACTTTGCCCTGTCTCATTCATCCCCCACCCTGGTGTTGCACATTGTAGATCAATAATGCTGAATGATGGGGCAGTTCCAACTGACCCTCATTATATGGGGTATCACCAGGGCCACAATACCTCAAGGACCTCTTGTCCTCATATGAAGTTACCAGGAACCTGCAATCATCATCTGATGCCATTCTTTGTGTACCCCCTCCAGAGGTCTAGAGGGTGGCAACATGAGAACGGGCCTTTTCTGCAGTTGCTCCCCATTTTTGGAATGCTCTCCCAAAGGAAGCTTGCCTAGCACCTTTCTTACATATCTTTAGGTACCAGGCTATGTGTTTGTGGAAGGTGAGTTGTTAGAACATTTTTATGATGTATTTTGTATTCTTGTTTTGTATTTTTATGTTGTGAATCATCCTGAGATCTTTGCAGTGCATTTTTCTTCTTAAGAAAATGTTTAGGGGTACTCTCGTTTTGACTCAAGAAAATCACCATTTTATAGTTCAAATCAGGAAAAATAAATACAGTAAATGGACAAAAGGACAAAGAACATGCATTATACCAGGATAGGAAATGAAGCCGCCATTGGAGGTGGTAACAACAAAACTGACCAATCACCATGCTAGATTCCAACTCCTACTTCACATATTAAATGTTTGCTTCCATCTGAGACTCAGGTAACACCGTAACAGGAAATGAGGCCGCCATTGGGGTTAGCAACGGAACTGACGATTCACCATGCTAGAGAAGAAACTTTTTTAAAAAATAGTTTCTTCTCCCGTTATATTCACAAAAAGTTTAGGGATATGCGTACCCCTGCGTAACCCAACCCCCCCCCCGGAAAAAAGCACTGGATCTTTGGATAAAGGGCAGTACAGTGGTACCTTGGGTTACAGACGCTTCAAGTTACAGATGCTTCAGGTTTCAGACCCAGAAATAGTACCTCGGGTTAAGAACTTTGCTTCAGGATGAGAACAGAAATCGTGCGGCGGCGGCAGCAGAAGGCCCCATTAGCTAAAGTGGTACCTCAGGTTAAGAACAGCTTCAGGTTAAGAACAGACCTCCGGAACGAATTAAGTTCTTAACCTGAGGTATCACTGTATACAAATTTAGTAAATAAACAAACCAACAATAACAATACAGGGGGCAACCATTTTAAGTGTGTCCAATTGAGGCACAATTGACAATATGTGGGTCCTTTTGGACCCAGAAGAGGGCAGAATGGGGGCAGGGTGGAATGGGGCAGGGCAGGGTACTCTTAAGCTCACTCTGGTGCTGTGCTTGGGGGCCAGGAAGAGAACCCCAGTGCAAAATGGTCACCGCCTATATTAATAATCAGAATGAGAAGAACATGCCATGACAGCAGGCAGTCATTCCAATTCATAGTACACCATTTCTCTGTTTACTGGAGAGCACGCACAACCCCATGCAAACAGGAGGAACCTTCTTTAGCACAACATAATTAGAAGCTTTCCAACCACACATGCAATTACATGCTCTATGGTTCCCTTTATTAAAGGTTTCCTTTGTCTGGATATGTGCCAAATTAGTTGCATGTGTGAATGTTTTCGCTGCACCGTAACCCTCAGCTATTTCATACAGCAGGAACGCTGCATTGCATTAACCTCACAATTAACCCTTATTATTTGCAGGTGGATCAGCATTTCTCTCTGAGCAAGGACACTCCAGCTGCCCAGCCAGAGGCCTCCACTGCAGCTCGAAGAGGAAGATACGCCACATCTGCTTTTCGTTTGCAGTGCGGCTGTCTTAGGAGGGTTGTATAACGGAGGGAGACTGTGGAGTGAACATCAGCGGAGCGGTCGAAAGCTTTAGGAGCATCAACATGAAATCTGCCAAATCTCTCTAACTGGAACAGGATTGGTAACAGTTTTCAGGCCAAGATGCAGACCTCATTTATGAACATTGTGGGATGGCGGCCGGGGCACAGAGGGGGGTGGGTGGGCGGGATCTGCGAAAGCCTCGGTCCAAATCTATGCAAGAGGTTAGAATAATACAAGACACAAATATTCCAGAATGTCTCATCGCAATTAAGCTTTGCTATCCGAAAAGAAGCTGTCCATTTCACATTATTTTACAGGATAGGAAAAACAGACTTCAGGCTTCAAGATAAACATACATAAGAGTACTGGAAAGGAAAAAGAGTGTGAAGCTTATTAAAGCAAAGAAAAAGAAAAAAAAGTGACATAATGTTATTAGTAGTAGTAAAAGGGAAACGGTCATCTGGAAGCTATTTTAACAGCTCTATTTATTTAGGTCCAAGGTAATAAAAAGGTTGTCAGAAATGGCTTCCTTGCAACAAGCCAAACAGAATTTTCTCTTAATAAAATAATAGGGTAAAACTTCAATTGTATATCTAAACTGTCTGCAGCAAGGCTTCCAAATTCTGTATCTCAGAGTAGTAGTTACTCTTTCAGAGCTCCCTTCACCCATACCCTCCAACATATGTCAGATGAAACTCAATATGCTTGTTTTGTGTTCTTATATGTAAAAACAACTTACTGTGGTGCAGTTGACAGCAAGCAATGGTAACAATAGTCTCTTGCGTCCAGAAACATTAGCTTCAAAATGGAGTCCCCCTCACCCCATCGTGCAGTTTTACTTTTAGCTGTCTTTTAGCTGGGAATGGAAGAGAAATCTACTCTGGATTGCATTTCCATATGAACCTACTAATTTTGATGTCCCAAAACAACACATGAACCAAAACACAGCTATCCTTTAAGATTTGTACTCCTCTGAGTTTTTTTTATTCAGTCTGCCAACCAAAACCAAATGTGTACAAAAATAAGTATTAAGGGGGTGTATTTAAAAATGAATATATTTAGTGAAATACAATAATGTATCGTACTAGAGGAATACTTCGCACATATGTGAATATCAGGCAAAATTGCATCCTCAAAGATGTATACTAAGAGGGTTGGAAAACACTGATGCAGAAATGTGGCAAATTGAATTTAAGACTGTAAAATTAGAAAACACAATTGATAGATTAATCCATCCCCAAATGTATGTCGCACCTTTCTCCTTGCCTGGTGAGTATATGGGTGCAGACTTGTGCTAAGCCCATTGAAGGAAAGAGACATTGGGAGCCCTAAACAAGTATAGCTGGTGGACCAAACAAGCAGGACGAAAAACATTCCTAGCTGCAGCTGCTACCCGGAAAACTAGGGTCAAGTCCAGGAAGGGGAAGACCCGGTGCAGAAAAGCC